TAAAGAACATCAATTCACTGAACAAAGCACCCTCAGTTACATCTAGGTTGCAAATGTCTGAACATATGTAAAAGCTTTATTATTTTTTTAATATTACTCATACTCCAGGATACCTTTTTATGTTTAATTTCAGAGTGCAACAGAAGGAGACATAGTAAAACTGAGGTTTGTGCCTAATAAAGGCTTGGAAAAAATCACACAAGGCTTCTTCATGATAATTATTTCTTTTAAATCTTTGACTGGAATTGTTTGCCTGAAGGGGGGCAGTCCTACCATCACCTCATGCTTTATTCCTTTATTAGAAAGGTAGAAGAGGTTCACAAAGCTTGATTGATGAAAATAAAATTACTTTCATATCTCTTATATAGTTTCTCAACTGTCAGGTCAAGACAAGCACCAAGTTATTGCTATTGAGTAAGAAATCCTATCTAAGTAATCAGGGTGACTTACAGCTATCTAGTTCCAGGTCCCAATGGGTAGCCACAAATTTTGTATCCGTTCTTTAAAAATAAATGACATTTTACATATTTGAAACCATAACTTGGGCTTCCCTTTGCTGGTTTATGACATTTCCTAGCCACACGCTGTGATAACAGGGCACAGTGGATTGCACGCACACATTGGAAGAGTAAGTTCTGACAAACTGTCACAGTACGGTGTGAATTTTCATGGTTAAAAATCTAAGGTTGAATGACAGAACTGCTCACAGTCTAACATAACCTAGGCAGGCTCTATGCAACCATCCCACATGCAGTTCTTCCAATGCCCCCTTGAGTTGAAGAACCTCTGCTTTGAAGAACCATACATCTCTAGGGCTCTGCTAATCAAGGGTTGTCAAATGTGCCAATCTGCAAGGGGAGCTGCGGAAGGAGATCTGTGATACAAACATGTCACTGAGGAATAAATCACCACCACACTCATCTCACTTGTGACCCAAACTCAAGTTTCCAGGAAACAGGCTAATGCATGAGACAAACCAAGTCAATCTTTTCCCCGTTACCGCCAAACCAAGAGTGAGACCTTCAGACCTTTTTAAATCCAGTAATTAAAGAAATCCAATGAAACCACCTCTCCCCATCTCACCCACGGCTGCACCTTTTAGGACAGAAGTTGTACTATCTTATGCAAAATGAATCAAGACACACTTGGGGTACGTCTACACTTACCTCCGGGTCCGGCGGCAGGCAATCGATGTTCTGGGATTGATTTATCGTGTCTGGTTATTAACGTAGCTGAATTTGCGTACCTTAGTCCGAAGTGGGGGGTTAGTGTGGACCAGGCCTTGGGAACTGGTCCAATGCTATTTACTGTCAGAGCTTCAGCAGCTGGCTCCTTACTCTATAATAGTTTGACCACCACTGTCTGCTACTACCAGCCATGTTCCCAGTGTTCTTGGGTTACAGCTGTCTGGTGGACTTACATAAACACACCATTACTAGTCTAGTGTTTTCAACAGAGAGGAAGATCAAAAGAAAGACCACTTCACAGAACAGTGACTCGTAGATGCCAAGCATTTAATAAGTTTCACACTCATGCATTTTTAGTGTGACTTGGCCAAATTCTGCTCTTAGTTAAGTCACTGTATCTGTTAAGTAACACCATCAATGCTGTCACATAGACATTGGTGGACACTGAGAGTAAAATCTGGCTCAGTGTCCCCCATAAGAATCATTCATTGTCTCCTTTTTTAATCCTCTCTCTCTTTCTCTCATCCCCTAAAAATGAAGTCTCAACTTGTTTGCAGCTGTTTCCTTCTGTAATCAAAATTTTACACATGGAGGAGGGGAAAAAAAGATTTTAGGCTAAATAAACCAATCTCACAATTACATGGCTTGGAGGATTATTTGCCTGAATCATTTCCCTCCCACACATGGTGGAAAAAGCAGCTTTCTCAGCTGCCACTAAGCACAGGTTCAAAGTGTTTGCTGTTGGTATGTAAAGTTCTCAGCACAGGCTTTTAAAGGGAGGAGGTTTCCTACTCCAAGAAATAATTTTATCATTACAAATCTTCATCTTCATCATCATCATCATAGGAATGAATGGACACAATGCCTCTTTGGCAACGACTTCTAAAGCCAACAGATCTGCGAGACACGCAGATGGTGTTCTGAACAGGCCATTAGTCCATGCCACAGCACCATGATTTGGACGGCTGTCCGGAGCGCTCCTGCCTGCCAACTTGGATGGACTATGTTTCTATGAAAGAATTATTGTGCTGGAATTGAACCAGCTCCAACTGGTGTCCAAATCTCACTAGCATCTCATGACACACTAACTCTTTGTATTAGGTTTGTCTTACTTTCTGAGCGAGGGAGTTTTCTGAGCTTGAGATGCTGTGTTTGGGATTTGAAGACAGACACCACACTGGAGAAAAAGACCAGCTGTTGCCTGACTGGCCAACCAAGCCTTCCACTGGCTAAAGCAAAGTGAGAGGGCAGGAGAGGACAAGGGCCACCATCATCTTCACTTACCCGAATGCGCTTTGCTCGCCGCATGTCATCTGCTGTCATGGTGCTCTGCGTAGGCACCGGGCTCTCATCATGCTGCTGCTGGAGTTGCATTGGATGGCCTTCTGGCTGTTGATCCAGTGCCGACTGCGTCTCTGGTGGCACTGGGGTCTGCTCCTGCTGTTCCAGCCCATTCAGTGTGGCTTGTCCAGCCTCATCAAACTGCCCCTTGCTGGAAAAATTCAGCAAGTCCTGAAATCGCAAATCACACAGCCAGTGATTATTTCCCTCACCCAGCAAGAAAGGCTCTAATAATACTCCATTGGCAGGTGGTTGGATTTCTGCATATTGTTAAAATGATCACACTCATTACACTGGTCTGTACTGGCCTTTTTCCTTTAAAATTTCCCATTGCTGACAGCAGTTCGGCTCCATCAGTGGTAGCAACATTGGGAGCAGTAGTGTAGCTGGTGCTGCAGGCGGGAGCCCAGGTTCTAACCACCATATTATCCAAGCCTGCTCATGACACAGGGGTTAAACCACAGGTGGCCTAGCTACATTAGTGCCCTACCATTGCTGTTACCAAGGGAGATGAACCTGTTAGCCATAGTGGGAAATTTTAAGGGAAAATCCTAGTGTAGATGAGGCCTCAGGGGAAATACAGAGGGTCTCTCTCTTGTGCAAGTTAATTGTCAAGTGAATTGAAATATGATGATATTTTCATGTTCAAAGTTTGCCTGATCCAGCAAACTAACGGGAGTGGTGAAGCTGGGAGTAAGACACTAGGACATAAAATTGTGCCCTGTTTATTTTCATATCCGACTCCCAGTCTCCACCTCTCTAGGCAGCAGCAAAACCAAACCGTGTGTTGAACTTACATTTGTTACACAGCGGAGCTGCTTTTCTGTTTCTCTGAACCAGTTCAGAAGAGGAAGGGATGTTGGGAGTGAGAAGCAGAATGCCCCAAACCCCACATTCTCCTCCCTGACAAATTCCAATAAATATTCTGGGATGGAAGATTCCAATAGCTTAAGAAAAATAATTGATTGTTATATTAACTGCTTACAAAACAACTAGAGAAATTTGAGTAAGAAGAAAGCCATGGAATGGGGAGCCAAGGGCATCTAAGCTCAAGAGATGTCCTGGCAAAGCTCAGCAGTAAAGGGAGGAGAAAGAGAGCGCTGCAAGGAGGAATGCATCCAGCTACGAGCCCTGAATGCTCAGTCAGGGGAGACTTTTAATCTGAGGATCCAAGGTTCAAATCCCGGTTTGGTTGGTAAATTCCCACAAATTGCTCAACTTGATGAGGAATTCCTGGTTGAAGTTCTGCGCAGAAGGTCAGACTAGATAATGATGATAGTCCCTTCTGACCTTAAAATCTACGAAAGGCTGGGCAAGGCCATTCGTTTAAGCAGTGGATAGCACACAGCACTGAGTTGAGTCAATGTGAGTCAGGAGGGCATCAGGTCTCTTTCACTGTGCTACTCAGCGTAATGAGAACTCTCCA